AATGCTTGGTGCTAACGCAGTAGGGATAAGAACGTCAAAGACCACGCTTGCTCAAGATGGGTAGGACATTTCAAACTCATATTTTGAAACTGCAAGTCCAAGTTGCCCATGTTTTCACACATAGTAACTCATTGGTATCTGCTACGTTTCGAACCCGCACCGTCATGTACGAGTATGAGAAGCGGGCTCTTTAACCTTTAAGCCACCACGACTAGTAATTAATAATTAATAATTATTAATATTAATACTTATATTAATTACTTACAGGAGCAATGCTTACTTAGCAGCTTTAATATTACTTGCTAAGCAAACATATCTAATTAATTAAAAACAAATATTTAAACGTAGTTAATAATTTGCATTTTCCTTTGAAAAGCAGATACATCTTTCCAGTTAATTACTTTTATTTATATTTAATTATTGAAAATAAACATCGATGAAATAAAACGATATTTATTTTACTTCGTTACAAATACATTTATATGTATATGTATGCCAAATAATTAGTTCATTTAACTTTGTACACTGGACTACCAATATTAAAACTTCTCTTCCAGCTTCATCCAAAGGTTTATGGAGATCGACTTGTTCTTTTTTTTATATAACGATCCCCCACACTTGTATATTCTCCTATGTCGTGGGTGCGTTTATTAACATACAATTTCACATACACATCACACCCAGACCCGAAACAAAAATTTGTGCATCACACAAAGAGTGGTTCCGTACAGGAATCGAACCAGCGACACGTTGCGTGGCAGCCGGTTGCCCTGCCACCCCGCCAACCGTGCAGTCAAGACTTGTGGCTAGCTCACAGAATCTACCAGATGTTTTTTGTAAGTTGCCTTATCTGATTATGTGGCGTATGAAGACGTTCATGAACCACCTTAGGGCCATAGTCATGACATTCAAGTTGTCTGGTGCAAGAGAGGTGGTTCTCGCCGGAGATGTGAATAGGTATCATATTTGGAAGGGAGAACAGGGAGAACCTTTTTAAGTTAAGGTAGACCTACTCTGGTAGCTGGAACCAGGACCCGCTCGGCACGCACCTATGGATGTCATCTTTGCATTAAGTGAATGGTATTATTAGTGGCCCTGAGCACCGGAGCGTCGCACAGCCTACGCGACGTCGCCGCGTCCGCGCACGCTGCTCATGAGGAAGAACCCCTCTGTGGTTCGTAACTAGTAGAGCTTTTCACAATATTTACACGTGAGTAACCCGCGATTTTTAGTTAATTTAGTATGTCTCACTATAGTTATTATAATAATCGAAAAACATTCTAAATTAGTTTTATCAACCTACTTTCCATCGTCGGACAAAATAAATAATTAAATTATTAATTTATTATCTGTGAGTGTGAATCGATTTCGATTTTTGACAGAAACTCCATTAAACTGATGTCAATAAATCATCAATCTTAATCCGTAGATTCTATATTAGAAGCTGGAATTACTTTCAGCGGTAGATCAACATAATATATTTAATAAAACATATATTTGATTAATTATGATAAACATTATGTCAATATTTCATGCTTCGGCACGAATGGGCCGGCTCGATCGGAGTGATACCATGGCCTCAGTGAAACAATCACAGCGTTGTGTGAGTTACCGGATGCCCATTTTACCCCACCCCATTCCCTAAATCTCCAAATACCTAATCTCCAAAAGGTGAGCGAACGCACTCATAACTTCTCTGTTGCGGGTGTCCATGGGCAGCGCTGATTGCCATCAAGTAATCCGTCTGCTCGTTTTCCGATCTTTTACATAAAAAATATATTCAAGAATTGAAAAATTTCATACTTCGAAATTATAATTCATACAAAAAAAAATGTTACTCCGAAATTACTTTTAATTAATGCATACACTTATACAAACTATATATATCATTTTCACACTGATTTCGGTCTGTGGGTTGCAAACACTAAACACCAGCTCAAACTAAAACACGAAGTTCACTCAAAGTGTTATTGGATCTTTCGGTTTTGAAAGTTTCAACAGCTCGCGGTTCAATTCACTGAAGCCAGGGTACGAATGTTCGTCATAAATGTTTGTTTAATTTATAACATAATTATTATTATTCCACGAATGTTTGATTAAAATTATGCAAAGCGTTAAACTATGTTATACTGTCAATTTTTTTAGTCAATTATTTTATTTGTAACCTATTGGCGCGTACGGGAGACGATCTCCGGCCCCCGTAACCGTGTGTCTGCAGATGGCGAGTAAGAGTAGCTCGCCGCCCGAACAGATCCAGACCTAAGCGTACCGTGCGTAGCGTTCCGCGCGCGCCTCAAAGAGCCAATAGACCACCACAGACGGGGCCCTTTAGGGTTGATGTTCAGCCGGGGTTGCGGGGTAAGCGCAATGAGGCACCGCGGCCTCGGCCCAGAGCAGGAGAAGGAACGGGGGGGATTTTTAGTCAGTAAGAGTCTGGGCGGGAGATCTTTTTATGATTTTTCATAAAAAACCTATTGGTGTGTTCCATGCTTTGTTAACACACGGTATCAAACAGCACGGTCTGAAACAGTACTTGGATTGTGTTTCACCAAGTGTGCGGTTACTGAATTCCCAATCCCTCCCCTATCCCTAAATCCCTGTGATTCTTATTCTGAGTGTGACAAATATATGTATAAAAGGTAGGCAAACCACGGATCAAATTCAATACTTTTATTCAAATGTCAAAGACGATACTTTTCTATTTTTGTATGAAAATCCTAATTATGACGTAATCGAATTTTTGCGACAAATAGCTTATTTATTAAATACAAATAGCTGACATAAAAAACAATTGCTAAAAATATCGAAAATGTAGTGTAGGTATCGACAGATCGATAAATAAAAGTAGATATAGTTATTTTTCAATATTTTATTGTATTGAAACGTCTAATCAATTTATTTCTGTGCCAGCTATATAATCACAATAGACAATAGGCTCATCCCAAATACCGCAGAGCTTAAGTATAACACAACTGCTAAAAATAGGATTATAATATTTAAAATGCACATTTTACCGAATAATTTTAACTCCAGGTAAATAAACAGTTTGATTAACGTCATGTTTAATTTTGTGTTGATAAAACAACATTAATTTACGGTAAACACTGAAATCAGTGGTCAGTGGGATCATTCTGTTTACGATTCAGCGTCACGAGTGGCGTGTGACATGTCAAGCACACTTCTGTCGGTTGCGCGGGTGACCATATCTGACAAAATCAGCAGAAATTTGTGTAGTTTGTTGAATTAACAATAAAGGGTTCATTTCAATGTACTCGTATATTGTACCTATTGTAAATGAATTTATTGTGGTTTTTTAAAATAATAATGCATGATAGGGAAATCATGCATTATTATTTTAAAAAACCACAATAAATTCATTTTTATCAATACCTACCCCTATTTGTTCATTACAATCAGCTAATAAAGTTTCTATTGTATATTAAAATAACATGTCAACAAATTGGCAAATTGAAATTTTATTCAAAACAAACAAATTTCCTTGAAACTGAAACCTATTTGTTCGTTTGAACCATTGTTCTATGCACTCGATTCTTTTCGTTTCGTAGAAAAACAGAAATCATTGTTAGGTGTTGCTTATACAAGGAAACCTTTTTTCAGACAAATAGAATTCTCGGAGAATACCATCAGCCAGATGTGAAAAGTCTGTTTCTTTATGAATAGAAACGGTAGGATTTTTCCAGTGAAAGACATGCAAGCCTTGTCTCCGTGCAGGGTTCGGACATTAATTAAATTCTCCACTGGACAAAAGTCTGTGGACGACATTTATGTACGACCGACGGGCAAAGGAAATTATTCGTTGCCGTCGACATGCGTATTGGTGTGTTTCTCCTACCTACGTTATTAGTTGGAAAGCACACAAAGGCATACCTCATATTTCTGATGAAATAAATTCTATGGTTTTCACTGCTAGTAGGAAAATTGGAAAAGTGGAATTGATTTTATTGAATAATTTCATCTCATGCTCTTTTTACTAGAAATTCCGAAGCCATTTTTTCGTGCGGTTAGCTGATCTTTGCACAGCGCTTCAGGGTATGACGTAATTAAAACACATTGTTAGATATTAAATACATTTTTTATCTTATGGCGGTTTTTCAGTCTATTTAATAAAAAATCCAATTTTTTTAGAGATGTTTCATAATGTAATTTTAAACCATTTTCTCATTATTTCTACATTGTACACTTATTATTAAAGTTCGGTCTTATGTTTGATTCTTGAGTCGCTAAAGGGTTATTTTGGATTTCAGAAGATTTCTGAGTGAAAGCACGGAATCTGGAATTGTGTCCAAAAATCACAAATCATATTGTTGATAGAATCCGCGTCACAAATTGTGGTCTCGTGTGCAGATGTTACATGTTACGTGTATGTAATGTTTTGTTTAGTAAATACGCTATAGTAATCTATATCTAAAAGCACCAACAATCATTCAGTTTGTAAATAGTGAATAATGTTTTAATGATAAAAATACACATAGTTACTAGTAGGCACACATTGGAATTTAGTTTTATTTTGTGCCGACTAGCGTTAGCAAATACAAAATCCCGCGAATTAAATAAATATATGAACAACGCAACGTAACCAAACGTGCTAGGCACGAGAAACCTTTTTTCACAAATCGTGATATTTGTATTTCTATATATATTTCAAAGTATAGTAACGATTTTCAGATTTTAGATACTGATATTTACCATTCATATTTTACAATCGATTTCAATACATTTCTAAATTTTACGAGATTTACAAACGAATTTATATAAAAAATCTTTGAATTATTTTTTGCTGGTTTGAATTCTGATATGAGCAAAAGAGAAATCTCTTAAGTGTAGTAGCTGCCAGTATTGAGCTAGTATAAAGTTTTGATTCTCAGTTAATATAAATTAAAAATAAAATTAATAACGTTGAGTAAAATTTATTTATTCTTAAAAAAGTACTTGATTTTCGGATTAAATGAAAACATTAGGCGAATTTTACTCGTGAAAAAATGGTTAGTGAAACAAAAAATGTGTGGGAAAGCCAAGCTTTGTCAAGAATGGGTCGGACCGGGGTAATACCACCGCCTCGCAAAAAATCGGCTTTGTGTCGGAGAATCCTTCCACTTCCTCAATCCCTCCCTAATCCTCAAATCTCCTCATCCCTAAAAGGCCAACAACGTTGACTCCTTTGGTGTTGCGGCTATCGATGAGCAGGTCCAATTCTTTCAATCAGGCAATCCTGCCTACCGGTCTGCTAGTAAAAACATATTATTCCAAAGGTTTCAACTTATAATCACCCTCCATCGATTTGCATAAATTGAAGGCTGGAAAACTTAAATAATTATATATTTTTCTTGGTACTTTTTTATTGGAAAGCTCAGGGCTGCTGTCGTGTTTCTTTATTTTTCCTTCTAGGTCTAACATTTGAAATTATTACTATGCCTAAAATATAAGGATCAATTTATTTTCAGTATAAATATAAAGTTTTTGAAATGTATCTTCTTCGGTAGAATACTAGAATGTTGTTGCACAATGCACTATATTACACTGTTTCTTCTCAATAAACTTACATAGATTTCGAATAGTGCCTTTGTAGCCTCTTCGTAGTACGCCGTGATCTTCGTAGCACTCCGTAGCGCACTGCTACGAATATTACGTAGCATTGCTAGTTCTTCAATTTTCTATTACAAATAAAAGTAGTGAAAAGATTACATTTTGAAATAATCATGAAATGAGGTTACAAGTTGTATTACTGAAATGATATTAGAGTTTACGTAAAGTTCAAATATAGCTTTGTTTGTTTACTGAAAAGTTGGTAACACAAACCTGTAGTAATGTAGAGCTAGTTTTGTTTAGTTTGCTTTAGGTGTAGAAATAAATGTATTACTTTATTATATTGTTTATTTATAGTTGCTCTATGAGTAGATGAACTATCGAAAAAAAAACTTGTTTTTCTTAAACAAATATAAACAAAACGGTCGATTCAAAAATACATTGTTTACTTTGTTACAAAGTCGATTGGAAATCGTCTATTCAATTATACAAACGACTAAACCTAAACGATTACCCGCAGCCCTGCAACCGCTATTTCAAACGCGTTCGTGTTTACAAACGTTGACAATAGTTTATTTAATATTAAAACTAGTCGCAGCAGTGCGCGACCAAGATACTCGTAAATGCAGGGTTGACTCATCAATTATGCACCCAACTGAATTGTGGATATGCATAAACGCGGTGCTTTTGATTTAATAGGCATTCCTTTCATATTTTCTTCTATTCTTCAAAGCCACTTTGTGCAATGTCAAAGAATTTTTGCTTTGTCTTTTACAGATATTTGCTTTTGTCCAATTAATTTCAATGCAATTGTTTCGATTAAGCATTCAGCTTCGATTCTATGTTAGAGTAGTTTAATTTTTATTCAATTCGATGTCAACAATTTCGGCTACAAAAAATGTTACAAGATTCAAAGAGAAGTGAAACGGTGACTAGTCAATTTTGCTATACCGGTTATTCACTTGAAACTGCAAAATAAAACAAAAACAATACTATTGTTTTCTACGTACGAAAGCTTTTGAGTTTCGTAAACAATGTGAGCTTAAAATTTTAACTTGACTTTACTTTGAATTGTCGAGTGACGTATTTCCTTGATTTTTGTGTGTTTATTTTGGTGAAACAACGTCACAATTTGCAATGGGACGGACGATAGAAGCGCAACGTTTTTTAGATTTTTTTTTATCTCATGAGTCTTTTAAAGAACTTTTACATTCTGGATTTCTCGTCGTCGATATACACTGAAATAATAATGTTCGTAGTTTACGGTTTTTTCTTTCTTAAGTCTGTACTTAGTCGAGTAATATATATGTATATGAGGTAAGTTAGATTCTAATTAAGTCAAAAGACTTTTTGGTTTTTTTAACCGACTAAACTGAACCAACAATAAGTTTTCTTTAACAACAATTCACACTCAAATTAAAGAGAAACGGAAAGCATTAATTAATACATTTATCAGAATGTTATGTTGTAATAAGCCATAACCTGGTCATTGTGACCACACATTTAATTTTGAAAATTTCGGAATGTGTTGAATGTGTTAAGAAAATTGGACCATTTATTGGATGGAACTTATATTGTGAAACGTCTTGCGATGTATGTTACATTCTGGCTGGCAACTATAAAATGTTCCAAGGTAACTAAATATATAAAAAAATATTTTAAGTAGCTATATGTTACGCCGCGTCAAGGGGTCTTTATTCTGACAAGATGGTCATCTAAAACCTGTTATCCTGATGGGATACCACAATCACGTTAATTTTTAGAAGTAACAGTGTAACTTATTCAGGCTTTGTGAAAAAGGTCATCAAAACTAAATCTAGGTCATAGGTTCTTTAGAAATATGGTGTTTGGTGTTTAAATAGTCTTTAGTACGAGTTTTTTTTCTTTTTTGATTGAACGTGTAACTAGAATTTTGTAACTAGAATTTTCTTCTGTGTCCTGGGTGCATTAACAACCATAAAAAATCACATACACAAGCCACCCAGATCCGAAACAACAATTTGTAGATTACAGAAAGTGTCGTTCCGTGCGGGAATCGAACTCGCGACATGTTGATCAGCAGCAAGTAGCCCAGCCACTTTGCTAACAGTCATACAAATATCATGTACTCATTGGGCCGGCAATAACACAATACAAACCGTCTAAGCGAAAATATAGAAATTGTAGTCTATATTGAGTGATCTTTCAGCAGCTGTTAAAGTATTTTACAACTTATTTCTGAGTACTCGTAAATTGATAGGATACACTATTGAGGTATGCTGTATGAAGTTTCTTCACTTTTTAAACTTTCTTGCATATTCTTTGCCAGTTTTGGATAGCAAACGTGTGTATTTCTCCTGTGACTGTGTGTGTGAGTTGAACAGATTAATTACGATTACCACTCTTTTACTGTTGGTATAGTAAAAGCCGACTAAGGGACAACACTTTTGACAGAAACTCTACTTTCTGATAAACTCCAGATAGAGCCGGTCCAGCGGAGGAAGTCATGGCAAATTCTCTTACGCTGATGTAGAGAAGGTTTTGCAGGTTGTCATAGAACTACCACGGAGTGTTGTGATCACGTCGCGACGTTTGATGCTGCTCACGAGGTCGTGGCCTGTGTACATGCATGTGCGCTGCACCGCTGTGTTTCCGCCGATGCGTTTGCGCCGATGCGTTTGCGCCGATGCCTTTACGCCGATGCGTTTGCGCCGATGCGTTTGCGCCGATGCCTTTACGCCGATGCGTTTGCGCCGATGCGTTTGCGCCGATGCCTTTACGCCGATGCGTTTGCGCCGATGCGTTTGCACCGATGCGTTTAAGCCGATGCGTTTGCGCAGATGTGTTTACGTCAATGCGTTTGCGTATATGCGCTTACGCAGGTGAATATGCGTAGATGCGCTTGCGCAGCTTTTGTTGCTTTATATGATTTTGTTCAATATATAATATTACCTACATAATTTTGTATAGACGGTTATAAACTAAGAGAGTGGGAGTGCCAGTATGTGCTTTCGTCTCGTAAATAATAGAGTTTTTAAGTTTCTACGTCATGGGGAGTTGAAGTTGAACATGCGGTCATTTCCTGTGACGATGCGCTAGTGCTATTTTTTATATTTTATAAAAAAATGCTTAGTGTATTCGAATATAAGCTGTTACTTACATTGCCTTGTATAGAGGGTTACATTTAAGGCTGCTAGAAGTTCTATCAGATTTTTGCCTTGTTTGACTCAACAATGACAGATTTGACACTCACTTTTATTTTTCTGACCTTTTCTCAAAATTTTTCATGTATTTTCTAATATGTACATATCATCTTGTAGAATGCAATTTTGAGATTAAAATAACATTTTTCATGTAGGGAAGAATTCTATTTAACGTGGAGGTTAAGTGTTGGGGTGAATTAATAACAATACTTGCATTGTATACATATATATTATAATGATGAAATATATCACATTAATCAATTTATAACTAAATACATATGTTTTCAGAACTGGTTAGTACATATACAATAGATACGTTACAGATAAATTTTGAGATACTATATTTTATTCTATTGTAAATATTTGAATAACAGTGAGACAAACGTTGCTACTACAGTATTTTAAGTGTCGAGACTTTTGCCAAATATTTAAGTAAGTAGTTATCTTAATAACTATTGATACATTTCAGGGGAACAACGCTCAGTACATCACTATACCTACCTAATTCGATATTCAGTAAATATTATCGGCAAGTGAAATATTAAATATGATTATTCATTGTGAATATTACAACAATTAAAGCGAAGGAAACATATGACTCCCATATTAAGTAAATAAATTTTTAGTTTTTTGAAACAAAATTCTTAAGTACAGCTTAAACGCTTCCTGGCAACAAGATCCATGGCACGGTGAGATATTCAGTCAATCACAATTGACAGGAAAAATACGTAGGTTACATAAAACACTCGAAAAATAACTCGATACACCCAGGTCATACCTGCTCGATATAATTCTTTAATACATACGCCATATACGACTTGCTACAAGATTAAGTGATTAATATGATAACGACAATTAATTTAACATCCATTTTAATGTTAGGAATAATTGATAATATATATCTTTACTATTCTAACAAATACAAGTCCTCAGAATGGGAACAATAAATATATATCTCTGACCATCTAAGATGATTAACTAATAACATTTCTTATATAGACCGAATAAGGTTGAAAATATGCTCAGCAGCAATAGCAGAGCTTTAAATAAAATGTAATCATTTGGGGCAATTCATTTTCCTATCTAATTTTTCTTACATGCTCTTAAAAGATATTTGAGATATTGGCAGTATAATTTTGGTACAACAATTTTTCTAATTGATGGTCTAAGCATTAGAGCATTCTCAACTGTGTCACAGCATCCCTACGCAGTTCTACAACTTACATTCCTTGCCAGGCCTTCCATTTACATATATAATAACAATACCAAAATATTAATCTGTAAGATTTTCTACTATAGATTACACAGTGATATCTAGATTTATAATTAGGTAATTTATAATACTTATAATGTAGAACTGTCATGCATACGATGAACAGTAAGTACATCAACTCCTACGGTGAGGTTTCTGTGTTGTATCGGTTGTATATAATACATGATTCTTTTAGTAATAGCTAATAAATATTACTTATTTCATATTGTAATAAACATCTAGGCAATAGTAGGTACATAGGTAAACTTGTAGAAGATATGTAGGTGTAACTTGTTCAGGCATATGCAAAGAAATGCTTCTGGTCAATTGGTTCGCAATATTGGTATTTTCAATAATATAATGATATTATAAATACTAATACTATATGGTTTAACAAGTTAAAATTGTAAAATATATATAAGGTATTTTAATAGTGACATTTTATTAAGCAAATTGACCTTACTTACAATGCAAACGGTTTTATAATAATCACTATGATGTAAATATACATTTATTCCTGTATCATCGATAATTAGGCGTGGCATCGATCATAACTTTGTGCCTTGTAATATAGTGGGTCGTCCTCGTTGCATTTAAAAATTATTTAAACTTGGTATTTTCGGGGATGCAATGTAGGCGTTAACATATTCCCTACTATTTTTGAACGTCCCTTCCTAAAAAAACTAGTGTCATTTCAGTTATTTAGAAAACGTGTAGGTATAATGTAAAATATTATTTTAGGCCACATTCGTTTTAAAATGGTTTTGGTTCAGTTGCCATACATTTGGACTTATTTTGGTCTCAGAGGAAAGAAGGCTCGTGTATAGTTATTGATATGGGCATAGTACATTATCTCTTAAATACAAATACTAATGTTTTTAGGAAGGTATTTGGTTTATCGCAGGTACTGCTTTAATTGTTACCATGTATGCAGAATGCAGGTAGGGACACGATAGTCTACAATATTGTATATAATATAGATGAAATGATAAATAAATTCGTAGGGTTTTGTAGTATATGCTACAAGTCAATAGATTAGGTGTTGCGCCTAAAATACTCTATAACCATTTAATATATCTGTGGCATTATTATTAAAACGAGAATAAACATTTATGGTGCGATCTTTTTTTGTTACATTTTTCATTTTATTACTGCATTCGAACATTGTACTGTAGGTACCTACACAAACTGTCTAGATAAAATCCACAAAGTAATCTATTAAATCTGAGTCGTGAGTCAATAATGTGGAAAGCCGTCATCGAGTAGGACTGGCTGATACTTCGTCACTTTATTAACACACTGAACCTACAACACTAAACATCATCGGTACGTATACATCGACCTATGTAACTATGGTGAGTAATCCTGTTGGATAAGTAACCTTGGCGTTGAAGGGTGTACATCAAACAGATACTGAAGAGATTGCAAACTATGAAGATCGATCGCCAGGCTTTTATGAGGGTGCGCAACAAATGCGCGCGCGTCACTTAATCTTTGGGTTGAGGTTTCACAATCTCGCACTTGCCGGGTGTGGCCGGGGTCGGGTCCTCGGAGAACAGAGGGTTCTTCACTTCCATTTCGCCCGTCTGTGAATACGTTCCCCATTTCAATACAGTGTCTAAAGTGTTCAACGAAAATTATTTCATTTCACACAAAATATTCGTGCATAAAAATAAAGCAACCTAGAAAGAGAGAAAGTGCACCAATTCTAATATTGTACTTGTCATTACTTTATGATGTCACTTCTACTCAACCTATATAAACGTTCCAAGCTCGTAAGTCCCGTGGTCAGCATCCGGAATATGTGATTCATTATCTCCAAATAAAAGCTTTGACAAAAAATCATCGATTAGATTAGGTTCGGTTATATATCAAACTGAAACACTAAACTGTAACATAAAACAATAAAAGTATATTTCAAAATCCTGATTTTAAGTGATGCCATTTTGTTGTTTTAATATCAAAGTTCAATGTCAACTGCTTAAAATGTCTAAAATTGTGACCAGAAAGAGCCCCATTCTAAATATATCCTGGACTGTCAATGTACCGTATCAATTTCAGCAAAGTTCGCTTTATAGCTTCACAAAAAGGTCAAGTTTTTCCCTTTTGATAGATTGTATCCCCGACTCCCGGACTCTAAGTACATCAATGGACATAATGCTGACAGTTCAATATCTATATAAATACATTTAGGGATTTAATACCTAAGTTACAATTGTTAACATAAGGCTGCAGGTACAACACTGTTGAAGCTTGCTAGAGTCCATATGATTAAAGTTCACAACACAACATTAAGTCAGTTTAAATAAAACCAGGAGGACGTACCGTTGCAAATCCAGGGCATTCATAAACAGTGTAATCGCCCTCTTCGTTCTCTTCTTCAGACTCGGGGTCAGATACGGATCCATTGCGGTGCTCACAGCCATTTCTGAAATGAATAATATACGAAAAGGTGTACGACGATGGCTTCGGTTACATGTGAAGTTCCCTTTATAATTTGAAGAAATTGTTTCTAAATGTTAGTGCTATACATTGAGTCGATGGTTCGAATTAAGCTATTATAAAATCAATCAATTACTAATGCATGACCACGACACAATTCCGTACGGACTGAAGCCAAGGCTTCACGAAATGCTCAACTATTCATCAACAATTTAAAAGCAAATTACAACGGAAATGTTCGGTAAAAGTTGAAACGATCCCTCTTTGTTGTAATTATTGGTTCGATTGAAACTTCGTAACGGGCTTGTATTTTTGGATCAAACTATTCATACAAAACTTGAAGTTATTTCATTTTGTTCTAAAGAGCTGCACTTATTTGTGTTCAGTTCGTAATTCTTGGTCAATGAAATGAAATGCAAGCAAGCGGGTGCGCGTAACAATTCTCCAAATGTTTAATGAAAGGGAACAATGTTTTGCATCCGTTAAATAACTACCTTTCCATAGCTATTATTTGCTGTTTTTGATGCTGGTAGTGGTACATGTGGGCCGAATGAGCAAGTTTCCTGTCGCCAGAGGTATCAATGTTAGGTCCGGTCACTCCGTATGCAGGGTAGTCCACGTCAGCAGCAGCTTTAGCTTTCTTACTTAGTCTGTGGGATGGTCATGTCGGGTAAATGTCACATACTCGTCAAAAGTGTAAACTACAAGGTGCAATGTGATCGTAGGTGATGTCACTTACGTATACCAGCCAAACGCGAATCCGATGATAGCCATTGTTAGAGCGGTGCCGACAGCAGCAATGAGAGCGATTCCGTAGATCGAGTCGGCAGGATCGGATGCAGACTCCAGCACATGGATGTGACGCGGTTTGTCGGTGCCGTCTGGATTCTCTTGAGTGCTAAACATTGGCGTTGGATTTAAAACATTGCTATCCTACTCGCTGGTATTATGTTCTACGACTGGCACCTATAACGTAGCCGTGACAGGTGCACAATGCATTGCTACAAAGTCTACTCTAACACAAAAACTAAATGTTTCATAAAACATACCAACTAAAGTATCACATTTTGTAAATAAACACGTTTTTATAATATGCTTGAGTGAGAAGCGTACATAATAGGATCACATGCTGGTAGGTCTGGTCAGACATAGCGAAATAATATGGGTTGCAACATCATGCCGGTAACATGACAGAACAGGGCCATTTACGGTGAGGTAGGACGTATCCACAACGGATGAGCATTGGTGTACATATAATGTATGGAAGTCATGTGACTTGTATTCCTGTATACTTTCTTTTATATACCGTCTTTACAATATTATTGAAATTAGGTACTTTTACGTGTTTGTTTAACATACCAAAGTAATGTTTTCTTTTTGCTATATTGCCAATAAGTTTTTAGTTATTAGACGGCTACTAAGCACTGGCTCGACTCGTCTTTATAATCGGCGCCAATACGAGAGTACTTCAGTGTAGTACTCTTGTATCCCACTCCAGAGAACAGGTTTCTCACGCATACTTATAAATATTAATATTCATTAATATTTGTGGAAATAGTCTAAACTATTTGTTGAATTTTATCTAATATTCGAGACGGTATTTAATTAGTATTATTTTTCATTTGTTTTAAAAGTTTTATTGAAATGATTAAATGGATACAGATGAGAATGAATTATGATGACCCGTTATCGACGTACCGAATTAGCCAATTGGGTAATAATATAAATAAACGAAAACATACATATATGGTAAATTCAATGTATATATAGACAAAATAAAACAGATAGAAATTAGTGAATCATAAATGAAATATTTATCTTATTTAACGTAAGTTACAGTCCTAATAATACACGCAGTGTAGTATGACGTTATGTTTAATAATACGATGTGCCTGCGATAGTAATTCAATAAGCTGTCATAGTACCGATTCTGGTTGGACCGTAGTTAACTAGACAATGGAATTCGATTTCCCATCAATCAATCAACTCTGTTTGTGACAGTCATCAGCGGCGGAGATGACGTGTTAATGTATGGGTACATCGGGCACACGGTGACACGTGATAAAAGCATACAAGCAGGAATTAGTAGGACTGTACCTTAGCGTCCACCTAAGCACACTTGAGACGTCGCTACGCTCAACTACAAGTTTGACAAGCTCGCCTGAGCAATCATCTCTCCTGTTCCCTCTCGAGATGTTTGCACAATACCGTCACACACACACAAACACACACACACACACACACTGCTGCTCGCTTGTCAACCTTGTTACGTGTGTATTATACTACTACTTATCATAAAATTTTGATTCGAATTTTTTCGTCGATGATGGTTTGCTATACGTATTCGTCCGAGGACAATGAGCGATTCTAATTAGTGTGATTGTTTCTGAAGTGCGTTTCGATACTTTCTTATTGGTGTACACATTGCTTGCATTCGTTGCTTCTTTGGACAGTTCACAAGTGAATGCTTCAAACAAAAGTGTCAATTAGGACGAACGTTGTTCCATGCGCAACTAAGGACTGTTAGGAGTGTAGGCTAAGGAATCTCTAAGTGTTAATACGTATGGCTTCACCTTGTCTCAGTCACATCAGTAGGGATTACTCTCAACCAGCGCAGGTTGGTTGGCAGTAAGGAGACAGGTATACGGTAGTCCTTATTTGCCCTTTAAAAAAACGCTACATTGTCTATTTTGTAAACGACATTGTTTTATATCACTAAACATACCAAAATCTGTCCTTTTTAACATCAAATAAAAGTGTAGGGCGCTAATATAATACGCAGATATATTTAAATATACTTTATAAAACATAGTACATATTTATATAATATAATAATTATATAACAGTAGAATATTAACATACATAATATACAGATATAAGCAGTTGGCTATAAGTCTATATTACAAATAGCCCATCGAGCAGATCGAACGAAATAAAACCAAAACGACACGGTTTGTCTCAAAGAACTCTCGGTAGCGTAAACATTTGTATAATAACTCCTCTGTTTTCAATGTTGGCAGCGAACTGTAATAGTTTTTTAGTAAGAATTGTAATCGATTAAAAAACGTGTTTCATTAGAAAGGTCGCTGGGGAATACCTACGCGAAAGGCCTTCAGTAGCAACAGTAGTTTTATCGTCTCTTTAAAGTGGCGTGAAAGTCGATGATCACTCTGTGCAGTACCGCGCTTCGAATACATTCTAGTTCATATTTTTCTTAATCACTATACTTTAGGTACTTCGGGGGTTGGGGGACAGTCTGGTGACCCAAGAGGACGACGAGTTCTATGCACTTGTGAGACGGGCAATAACCTCCGCTGTCTCGGGTTTACTAAATATTATATTAACAATTTTGATTTTTGAAACTTTTCAACTAATGCTTAGCTATTATTGAAAGGTACAATATCATAAAATAAGTATTTGAAAAAGTATCATTTCATCTGAATGATTAAAAAGAATCTCGATCGATCCGTTTCTATATAGATGTCAAACTGGCCATCTTATGATAGGTTATGTCACTTACTAGTAGTTTGCAAAGTCGAAGGTCGATAGTCCAGTTACTGCCCAGTTACTGCTCGGCTGACGCTAAAGTGTTTTACCTCCTGTTGTCAACGTTTAAGTGCTGTTACGTGTAATGCCGTCTAGGCAAGCACTTAGTTGCTTTGAAAGTGGAAAACATCCTTAAGAGACTACGTGTTTGGTCAACCGTTTAAATTTATCGGTCCATTTTAGTTTCTATCTTTACTAGTACAGGTAATATTTCCAATAAAATTTCATTGTAGTACTTTAAATTGTAAAATAATAGCCTCAAAGTACAGTAAAAGAGCTCTAAACGCTTTCTTGTTTTTCAAAAGCACTTATAAAACAATGGCGCTTTTTAACCTTCGTTCGCCGCGGAATTTCTACTTAATAACAATAATAAAACATGAAAATTATTTGTTGTTAATTCTTCAAAACAGAGAATAAAGTATTCGGGTTCGTCTGTTATAAAAATTAAAATTAAAACTTCCAGAGAATTTCGCTTTTCCTGTTAATACAAAGAAAAAAATTTTGTTTGCTCTTCACAACGATATTCGTCCTTGTTTCGAATATATAAGCCGGATTGTGGGATTCGCATTATACGAAATGATTTTCCTGCATCTCTCTCTGTAATAAATGAACTTGATATTGCTCCAGCTTTCGCGCATAATTAGAGCTAAAACCGCCGTAATAACAGCCAATACCTACCTACTTCAGCGGGGAATTACAGGCAGGAAATAGCTGTTGTAATGCTATTAATCTGCAGTTATTTTGTAATAACTAAAAGTGATTCATGTACAAAATGTATAAAAACACAAAAGGTCGTTTTACCTATTTTTAGAAAACTTATACTACTAATACCTGACAAAGATTTTATTAGTAAAACGTTATTGTTATTCAAAATATGTTAATACTTACAGTCCAGCTCGAAGGCGGTCCAAGTTTTCAGCGACAAGGTTTTTCGTTCTACCCAGGTTAGGGTTCTGCCGTATCTGACGTAGAGGCTGGAATGCTACTAAGCTCATCGCTTGGGGAGTTGGCGACTCACCACCCTCATGAGGTCCATCAGATTCTAAATAAAATAATATCACATTAATTTTATATTGAGTTTAACTTCTACGTCAACCCTACCCTACATATTAATAAAAAATTTTTTGAAAGATCCCTCGATTTCTGTTGTCTTTTATCAACATATCCTGATTTTCTTATCATGAGACTATTCTGGAACTATTCTTTTCTAACTAAAAATAATTATCACAATTGGTTCATAAATAACGGAGATATCGGCGAACAAACATAAAAAAGACTATATACGTTCGAATTGAGAACCTCCCTCCTTTTTGGAAGTTGGTTAGAAACAAATTAGAACTTTCTCAACTACTAAAATGAATTATGGAACTCAACTCCATAATTTCGACCAATCGAATATTAAAATTAGGATGCGACTGGGTTTGGATTTCATTGAAATCCCTTTTCAGAGCATTCCAATGTCTGATTATGCGTAACCACTATCGAAACGCTCGAACAAAAAGAAATCGAGCTCTTTGGTATTTAAACTAAATAATATCATGAATCGGATCTCCCAACTGCGGATTGAACGCGCCTGTGATAAATACATATTTAATTTTAAAATTATCTGATAGAAATTCATAAAAAAGTCTGTTGGCTATTTAAGAGCAGAAGATATTTTATGGTAGTCGCGGCTCGGATACAGCAGCCCATCTCCTCTATTTCCCGTTGGCGTCGTAACGTGAAGGTATAACAGATTATATCAGGCGGAAAAGCTGGAACGTCTGCCGGAGCAGCGCTGATAATATACTTCATAGTTTACGTCCGTCAAGGCCACAACTGTGTTACTCAGTGCTGTTATCTATGATAAAATTATTTCTGCGTTTATAATGTACTCTAAACAAGACCCTACATATTATGATACGACAGGAAAAATAAATGTTTGATGAGAACTCTTACTTTGCGTCACAATTTTGTCTTCGGGTTCGTAGTATTCCTTATCGAGAGGCGTCAACGCGAATGTCTTTTTGTTTTGTTCATTGCCAGTTTCTGAAGGTGCCAGCGTAGACGACTTATGGTTTTCGACATCTACTTGTGGTGCTGAGATAGGTTCAGGTGACACGATTTCCCTTGGTGGTGGCATCGGGCGTATCTCTTCTGGAGCAAGCGTGATGGTCTCCGGTATGTAAGCAGGTTCAGCAGATTCGCGGGCAGCTTCTTGTCCATATTTCAGAGGCACGTAAGGATCCCGAGCCATCCAACGAGAGAATTCCTCTACAAACGGATTTAACTCTTCATCATCGTCCATTTGGTTGATGCGATCAATTTCCTGCGTTGAAAGAAAGGAAACGTAAAATTTCTTTTCTAATGATGTAATTATACAGGCGAAATTCTTTACGAATATAAGATGAATCAAGGGACTTGTCTCTTAGAAAACTATCTGATTATAACTAGAAGCACCTGCCTGCTAAATATCATAATATATTTGTTATATACATGTTTATATGTACAAGAATATCCGCAATATAATATTCCTGAAACTAATGATTATTACGGGTAGTATCGATATTTTGAACAATTTGCATTGAATATACTCGCTATGCACGTAAGTCATCAATAATAAATTCATTCAGCCTTCGTGGGTGGATAGCCAATAGCTGAAGGATTAGGCATCCAGGTTCCTTTCAGTAATGACTACGTTTAACTTAAATGACATATTAGGGTTTATTTCAGAAAGATGTAAGTTAGTTTTTGATGAGTAATTCTGTCCTATGCTTAGTAGTACTTTGCTAAAATCAATCCTAGTTTTGTACCATTACTTGAAGTACAACTGCAATCTTTGAAAATTGCTATTGAATATTATATTGCAATTTACGAGTAGAACTTTCTTTTTCAGGTTTCGATGCCTCAGAGGAAAATTGTAATCAGATATCGTTGTCCATGAAATGAGGCTATGAAAAAAACGGGGCCTGAGATGTGAATCTTAAACAATCTAATAGTTATAGAGCTGCATCTGGGTCGCTTATATTCTTAACTTTGAATTAAAATAAAAACAAGTCAGTTAATTTCGAAATCAAAACCTCCGGAGTAATTCCTGTTGACCTATATCATGAAATAAGGCGTGAATTGAGTTCCACGATAATCATTTATAGATGTAGTGAAAAAAAGTGAACTTAAAAAGTTTTTATAATTATTTAAATAAAATCTATGGAATTGACCGGTACAAAAAAGATGTACGGAATACATTTGTTGAACTACAAAGTTAGTCTTCGTATCTAACTGAATGCTGTACACGTTTTTAAACTTTACTCAAGCTAACTCTAACTTATTGCCTATTACGTTGTGCTACGAAGACCTCGGTGTGCGAAATAGTCTTACTGTTCTGGTTTCTAAAGGTTTAAGAATATAAAATTAAACCATGCGCACATTATCCGCATATGTTACACGCTTTTCTAATTTAAAAGCTGGTCCAGGCATGATGTAAATATTTCTACCTAGTCTCGGTCACCTGATCCCTACGACCCGTTTCTAGCATACATTCTTGCTGAAACGCATTTACATAAGAGTAGTACACGTCACGTGGTGCGAGCGCGTCCAGTACGACATCAATTTATTCGCTCACAATGTTTGAATTCCATTCGATTGGTTTGTTGTCAACACTGTATGAGATTACATTAGTAAAGCAATCCCGTCTCCCTGGGGCAATCTTTGCATTCTGAAAGTGTCAACACGATCACAGATTACCTAGCTGTTTAACAGAAGTTAATCAACGGTGCCTCGAGCCAAGACTATCGTTAATTAACGCTGAGGCGCTAAGTTTTGAAAGTTCTCTAAGACATACAAATTGGTAGGACAGGGACTGCGTCTACATTAAACTTTGGTACTATTAAATATTGTCTACATAGCTTTAATATTTAAATAAATAGTTATAAAGCTACGATGTTTGGTATTCTTTTTTCTAAACAAAGAAATTATAGAACTTAATAGGCGAGTTGACGGCAAATTATGACTATTTAATGAAGAGGTTGAAGCCTTCCATGATTGCAGTGACCGTGTACTTAATTATCGGTAGCAACAATTTTCCCGTGGCACATTGTAATTTATGTATTTTATTAAAACACACGATACCTGTCCCAGGGGTGCATTACTTTAAATGCAGTCATTACAAAAATTGTCTTTGCCTTGAAGTCGAATACTTAATAACACTCATAATTACACAGCTTGATTTCATTTAAAAAGTCTTTTTTTACAATGGTCCTTTTGTTTTTTCTGTAACTGTCAATCAGGAGATTGGAGACGCACTTTTCACAACTCGTGAAAATACCTGGTATAACAAAAGTAACGTCGTAGCCATGTCTACGTATTTGATGGACCTGTCGTAGCAAGCGTAGCACAAAGCTTTAGCGATTTTTACACATGATTAGTTTTTGATAAACAACATCATAGTTCAATGATATCTCAAACTTACAATGACATTCAATGTATAAAAACAAAAGTGAAATATTGATGAGCCGTAACCTTTATATATTTAGGTTATGTATCAAAATGTTTTACCGATTGACACATAACGTCTAATCCTGTAAAATATTACAAAAACACTGTATGATTTGCAAATAATATCAAACAGATATAAAAAAAGCATTAACAACTCTGCGTAGCACACATAAAATAATAAATTAAATTTTCGTAGCTCTCTCGTAGCATTTTGCTACGGATATTAATGTAATAGACTTCGTAGCACGTATGAAGCAGTTTTTGCTTACATAAAATTGTTAATCCTGTTATCTTAAAATTGCCTGCATTTACGATGCTGATATTAAATTATTAATATGTTTTAAAACCGGTAAGCCTTTTGCCTTTTAAATATGATTCATTTTTGGGTTAACATATATGTATGGCGAAATCAATGGATCATAAAAAGGTGCGATCAAGATATTCCTTCGCATGTGGGTGGAAATATTTTCAATATTTACTTTATAGAACCTCAGGTGTAGACTAAGTGTTAATAGCATTAAGTTCTTGGTGGTATCACGTTCACACTTTATAGGTTATGTAATTTATAATTACATCGTGGGAGCGGAAAGCACAATAATTTAATAAACTTGGAGTTCCGTGTAGCCCCAGGTTACTGTCTATATATTTTGACACCATTTTCCTTAGTTAATTATTATATATACTCGATTATGTAGTCTTCGTTGCATTTATAACCTAACTTCTGAAACTTCACTCTGTATATACATATGTACTAGTATGTATGTAGGCTAAGGGTTGCCATCATATTTTCAACAGTTTACAACTGATACTCTATTACAACTGATATTCTAGTTTTACAAAAGATATTATTGAAATTGATCTCTGTACATATATGTTTGTAAAAATACGTTTGAATCTTTATTTATTTATTTATTTAATTATTTATGCCCATCACACATACAGTAAATAGAGAACAAATACAGAGACAGAGGTACATATCTTATGTATACCTAAGGATTTTATTATAGCTAAGGATTTTTTTAGAATTTATATATAGATGATTTAAAAGTGATAGAAATATGGCGTAGGTTAGATACGCGTTACACATTAAATCAATTTAAATTATTCAACGACCCTTTTTGGATAAACAAACACTATTTTAATTTCTTTTAAGCACAAAGTGATACAACTTTACTAGCGCTGCGCTGAGACGCTTGGAAAAATACGAGAAGAAACACGAAAGTTTTTCGAATGAACGTTCAACTTAAAGTGCTAAAGCGGCGCCCGAAGAAGACTAACGGAGGATTTATATTAGAGTGTCATGTCGGGACGTGATGTGCTCTGACGCAATGAGCAGCCTGCACATACATATATCTTACACGCCCCGACACCAACACACGACTCGACACTAATTACTCAACGTCAGCGTCATCAAGAAAACCATTCAGTTCGTTTTGATGATTCTATAAAAACATTATGAAAATACTAAATTGTACCTGCAACATATTTTAGAAAAATATATTCGATATATAAATGCAAAATATTTATTCGACAAATAAATAAAATATGAGCTACAATAGCATTTCGCACGAGCACAGAGACACAATACGGATCGAAAGATTCTTTTGAAATTTTTCATCGAATAAGATTTAGTTTCAAGATATATATTTTACAATAAAAGAAGAGATATAAATTGGACACGTTCTCTCCCAATGGTGAGTTGCAATTTATTATGCGTTCACGCTCGAGTGTCGCGTTTTGTAATGTCAGTAGCTATCATTGTGCAAGCTCGGCTCGGCTGTCGTCACAGAGAATCATGAGAGATGAGTGCACGTCTTTAAATCAATTATTGAGCTTCGATACTCGATCGTCCTCGGGGCTTCACGATACAGCGCTCACTTTTAGTATTTATCGATAAAATGTTTTTCATAATGCGATCGACATCATTACTAGTATTATTATATATAGCTTTTATAATATTTTCTTTTTATTCTGGATCATCGTGGTATCCAAAGAGAAATGCTCTTTTTCATCTGTGCACAAAAAGCAAAGACAAAACAGATAGCTTCCCATCCTGTTTAAAGGCTTTCTGTATTTACACATTCAATGTTATCATTAAAAAAAACATAAAATTTGTCGTATACAAGATGGGACATCATTATTCGCTATGTGCAACCCAAAGACAACTTGAAAACCAATTTTCTTTGGAAATCGGATTCTGTCCAACGTATATTCAAAAGGCGACAAAATCTCATCTCACGTTTCGAACTAGACTCCACGCAAGTATATTTTGGTTCGTACACGTAACCTATGTATGTACGTGATTTTTTAACTGTCCTTATATCTGGCAACTCGCGATATGTGAAGAGGGTGGGGCACTGTCAATGTTACGTATGGGGATGTAAGGGATAATGTAACGCAGCGATTTAGTGCTCAGTGAAGCTCTTAAAACGAGATTATCTATGTATTACGAAGGTATTAGGCAGCCGATCCAACGACCTAGCGCCTCATGCTTGTTAAAAGCTTCTGAACTACAGTGTTGCACTAACTTTGTGAATTAATTGGAAATGTTTCCTGACTCGATGAGGTTATACTTTCTAATACCTTTTCGTGTTACTTTTTCCAATATTCAGATATTTAGTTCATGGTTACAGGTGTCTGTATTTTCTAAAACTTGGTTAAGTAGAATAGCTTTTCAAATGGAAAAAGTTTTCTGAACTCGATCTGATGTGAGTTAGGTTATGTATGTAATCACGATCACTATAGCATCCTTGACACTTTTACTTCATTTCTATTGGTGTAAACTGTGCCCCAGTTCTGTCAAATAACCAATTAACGATTCATTTTGCTTAAATTCTTCATTTATAAATAAGCGTTGGCTGACCTCAGGTGTCAATCATAAGACAGTGTGCCCCTGCACCCCCAGCCTCCACGTGTAGTGACATTGTGTTGCCAATCACTAAATTCAAATCTAAGGGTAAGGCTAGCTGAATAGTTCCTTGTCTACACCGTCGTGATCCGGAGAGACAAGGGAGGTCAGATTGCATGGTCCAACGAGTGCGTTATGTTAATTTAGGTACGTCCCTAGTGAAACGTTGGAGTTTCTGTGTTTATTGTTTTACAACCTTGTCTCTTAACTTGTTTAAATTAAATTAAATTATATTTGGCCTGAATAGTTTTGGTAACAGCGAGATATTTGTTTATTGCGTCCGACGGTGAGCGTCAAGAATGTTACTCGCTTTGATAACTAAATACCGAGGTTTGTTTCTTTAGCGGCTGTATTAAAACAGTATTGCTAAATGTAATTTTACCTAACTTTTCTAATAAGTAGTTAGTCTAATCCTTGACAGGAAAACAAGATTGTTCAGTTCTATTTACTCTGTGACGTCAATAGAAATCCGTTCTGAAACGCTGCAATGAAACTTCAAAGTAACTTTTACTGTCAAGTTTTCGTCTAGGATGAAGTGAGACCTTTACTAAGTGGCACTCAGTGACAAGTTAGGACGCGTTTGGTTTTACAGAGCTCCAACAGCAGACGTATTTAACGAGCACTTGAATTAACACGTTTGATTAGCATTCTAATGCCTTAACTGATAACTTGTTGTATAACAATTAGAATGTTTTTTATTTTGTTTTAAACGAGAAGTTAGCTTTATTTCGGGAATGACTTCCTTAGTAAAAGTGAAGTTAGCTATGAACACAACAACATATTAATAATTATAGTTATATAGAGTAATTATTAGTATGAATTATGTTTTTAATTGTTGTATTTATACGGCAACTGAGTTAATATTGTTCTGATATGGGATTTTGAACATAAAAAGTATTTTGAAATGAAAGCCTAGCAAAATAAAGGCTAAGTGTACGCTAGGCACAACCCTAAACGTGTTCAGCGATACGGTTTGATTATCGTGTATCGTATATCAATGAACACTGGAGTCACTGCGTTGAGTAATACTTACTGACCTAACTACATACATAGAGCAGTGATTATGTTGTGTAGCGTATGATGCAGTCATCTATTCTCATGGGTCACTACTGACGTCATGTGATAAACGACCGCTAGTGATAAAACTGTTTAGGTAGGTACAACTCGTCAAGAGCAACTCATACCATTTATTTCAATGCTTTGTGTTATAATGCTTTTGTGCGTTATGCTAACCATACTTGCCCGTTTGGGTACATACCTTACTCAGCCAGTCTTGTTCAGTAGGGGCGACATCGCGAGGGTTCTCTTCATACCGAAGTAACGGGTTGGGTAACAGCATACGAGGCAGGATGTAGTCGCTGCGGAAAGGCCGCGGCTGCCACCCTATGCGGTGCGGCAGCTGCGACAGTGCTGGGGCAGCTGACGGGCCTAGAAACCTTGGCGATGAGCACTCCGCACACGAGTATGCCAATACTGATAGGCACGCCACGTGTACGCTTAGTGCAACTGAATATATCCTAGACACAATAGCACAATAGACATAGTACATTTGAGCCAGCTATTAATATTGTAATGCAAACCGAAGATCAATCGCTATTCAGCTGTATTGCGGAGTGGCTCGGTATACCTCAATTAACCTAATTACTAAAACTATTTACTATAAGCTGATTCCCATCGTATAGTGTCCGAGGAATGTGGTAAGAGAAAAGCGCCACATTTGCGGCTTGAATACATATGTGCTAATTATACACTTATTGTAATTAATTGTTCTCATTTGTTTAATAGGGCGACACGATACTATGGGATTCGACTGCTAAAGACATGATGTAACCAGGTTTAAGAAAATTGTGTACTTTTTTAAACTAACTTACTTACTAAAACTAGTAGAACTTACCTTTTGGATCACGCACTTGCTGTTGACTTTATCTCTTAATTGTGTGTACCTTTCATTTACTTTTTATACATCAATGTATAAATACAATAATTTTCAAGATTCTAGAAATGACTGTGATTCCTTCTTTTTCTTAAATTTTCCGACACTAGATAACTATTTCAAAAAAGTTTACGTATCACAACCTCGCAACTACATGTAGTAAGCCAACAAGTATTCTCATATTCCCATAACATTTACATTCTTCTTTGGGTTACACCTAAAACTATTTTAATAGTCAAATGGCACTTTACAAATTTAGTTGAAAACTGCGAAGAATTTTTATTATAACCAGGATGGCGAGACATTTTATAACTCACAATAGATTTTACCCAGTGGAGAAACTATGAGATACCTCTTATATGACACATTCTGTCACAAATATTAACTGGAAACCTGGTAGCAGGCCACTTTAAATTCTCCAAATTCATAGCAGCTCTCTTTAGAATGCTACTTGCATAACATTACGGTGTTCTCTCCCTGAGGAAATACAGTCGTGTTCAGATTTTGCCGACTATACGTCCATTTTAATAATGCCAGTATGCATAGCATACTAGGAATATTATCCTGCACTTCTAGTTCTAAACCCTTTGTTGATATAAAAATTCTGGACATATTCGCTCATTATGATAGTGTACAATCACAGTTGTCGCGCTGTCAGCTGTTTTAACACGACAACCGGATTGTTTTCGTTCGTCGGTTTTTTCTCAAATGCCTGGTTACATCTACGTCTTACTATAATATTCTATAAGTTATTACTATAGTAAATGAAACGTTAATAAATGATGTGTTGTTAAAAGAATTAAAAATGCAAATGATTTGTGTTTTATTTTATTAAATACACCACACAATGTTATTTATATACAGAAGCAGTTCCTAGACTAACCTTATTTTAATATTGTCTGTAGGTAAAAAGGATGGGAAGGAAACAACAGTAATCGAGATAGAAGAGGGTTGTTGGATTTAATCTTTCTCTTGCTTCGTCGTTTATTTACTTAGCTCAGATCCAAACCAAGACAATTGTTTTACACGGCTTTGTTTTCCAGTGAATGCATTAGCCAGCTTCCTAAGTCCATTGTATTGGCTCATATACGCTGTCAAGCACGTTCGTTCTATTGTAGTATCCATTGACATTGTCTACCTATGAAAATTGTATTAACGCAATTGTGTGTAACATGGGAAATGGGCGGCTGTGGAATCGGCGCTTGCTATTCTGACTTACTGGTATTAAAGGAGCCATTTTCAAAATCTGTTTAAATCAGCAACCATAATTTAAAACAACCAATTTTAGTTATCTGTATCGCTTTTTGTACGTGCTTTTAATTATGAAATAGCTCGTGCAGCCGTCGGTAGGCTACCGACCGTTAAACAAAACTCAATCATCGTATCGGATTTAGCGATGTAACTCTATTATTTTGGCATTTGGATCAAATATGTCGGATAACTAACATGTGAAACGAATACGTAATTGAGAAATTAGCGTCCAACTCTAATAGCGAAATTGTGTTGTAAATAAATTAAAAGCAACGAGCAGCAAATAGTATTTTAGTTATAATTTGTTGAACGCATTTCACATTGAAAAAAAATTTTTGTTTCGAACTTTTTTCATTATTATATGCCTCAGATTTTTTCGATGGATAATAAGTGTTATTTACCTTTTTGATGTTAATTACTAAGGATTTGTACCTTCAGAACAGATAATCTGGATTAAAGATTTTATCTGATCTGGTTTCGAATACGGTAAATAAAACAAAGTATCAACATGGGAGAAACACAAATATATTTTATTCTTTGCGAAAGTTGAATTTATTTTAAAATATCGCTGATATATCATGTTTCAAGTTAAACAGCCGCCAGCCTTAGCAAGTTCAACTTAGCCCAGATAAGTAGCAGAGTATAACTGTTAAATCTGCAGATATAAAAGTGAGCGGTTGCAATCTTTGAGCTGGCGAAGAAGTTACGGAGTTAGTGTACTGGAGAAATGTGTTTGATATTTCCCAGTCGACTTGTTTTGCATTGCTTGTAAATTGAATATACCGACTATGTTTATTGAAGGATTTACCCATCGTGTCAGTTACCATTGGTTCCTATAAAGGTTATTTCAACTGCCTTTATATAAACTGTAGTTACGTAACGAATGAAGTTGTAAGGTTCTTTGTAATTAGTATCAGCCAACTTCATTATAGTAGGTATTCGAGAAAAAACAACGAACTTGTTGAACCTCGAAAAACTCTTTTAAGCTAAGTTGCTTGTAATTTTACGAGTATTTCTTGTACAAATAATGGTCAGATTTTTTTTTTGAGAAAATAAAGAACGATTTTTGTAGCACTAGACTGTTTAGGTTTTGTTATCCTTATTAACCTGAAAAATTGTTCACTTGTCGAAAGAGAAGTAAGTCAAAAGTAGACCTCTGTCTGTCTCTTAAAGGTACGAACCTAGATAATTGTAGATATAATCTTTATACTTATTTTGTCAGACCAAGGACTTGAAACGAAGATCTCAAATGGTGTTTTGCGACAACCACACGACTAATGAGGACTGCCTGGTTGCGCGTTGGGTTCCGAAGTATTCACAGTAGACAATGTCATGAATAACTTTTCTGAACTGAACGTTGTTACTCTTTTTAAGATGTCTCATACAGTTACTGGTTTTTTAACCAAACAAGCAGCCGTTAAATCAACCGAGCTACAGCCGTTAGGGTTAGGGATATTTCGCAATAAAAGAAAAACAATTTCACCTATCTAAATTCACCTCATAATTTTTAATTATCAGCTCAAGCGGTTTTATTATTTACAAGAATATGTGTGCACCTTATCATCTAGAAAAATATCAAAAAGATGAGATGAAGATATTAACAGTATAAAGCTAAAAAGAGAGAAAAGAATACAAACCAATTATAAAAATACGAAAAATAACGTCTTTATTTAAAAATAAAAAAGTAGTATCGATAAAATTTGAAGGGTACAAGGTAGATGAGTATTAAAAGTATACACTATACTAGGGTAAAAAGAAAGACGGCTCTTCTCTCAACGAGATCTCAGCGCTCAATATATTACACCAATATATATACAATATCACTCTCCATGTTAGAATTTACTTGATTAATTCCGGACCGGCTGTACATATTATGTGCTTACATAAACGTACATGGTAATAAATCTCCGTCACATACCAAATATTAGGGTCCAACGTAATATTAGATTCTTCTATAATTACATGAACTTTCCTTTATTAGATAAGCATAGGTACTTTTGTATGTATAAGGTCAGATCCTATAGGTACATAGTATTTATATATTTCGTGTAACAAAGTTAGAGGCGGGAGGAAACCATTTCAACACGAAAGTACGTAGCGCGGATCTCAAATTGTATTTACTGGTAATTTATCCCAGTAGGAAAGCAGTTCCATTTGTGCCAATCATGGTAATAAGCGCGCTGTGCTGACCTACCTACTTATATCATGCTTGAAGATAGGCCCATCCCATCTCTTGCATTACGTCAATCAGCCGACGTAAACGCCTATTACACGGGTTAATTATTGTCTTCACTGCTTGATGACAATATTTGCATGACACGATTTTATGCAATTTCTGAGGTTTTATTTGATACGGTAGAACGTCTAAGTCAGACAGACAACGTTACATGGCATCCGTTTCGTCCCAAAGGGATTTGGTGTAAATGACACCTACTTGTTCTATTTATGTTACTTCTGAGGATAACTGAATAAATTATTATTTTTCGCTTATTTTCAGACATGTTTTAAAGATTTTGAGGTTGGTTTGATGAAGCAAAACTTTTTAGTTTTGGAGGTGCTAGTGAAATTTTTTTATTTGTTTTTTAATAGAGTAGAACTCATTTCAGGTGTTATTTAAGGGAAGTTTTTTAAACTATAGAGAGTTTTTGGTAAAGAGGAACGCCTATATGGCGGAGTGAAATTTTCGCGTTTATCTTGATTATTTGGTATTATTGATAATTTGAAAATCTATTAATCTGAATTTGGCACAATCCAGTTGTTAACAGTTACACTTACGTTACTTTACGTGTACATTTAGTACAATTTGTTGTATATAATTTAATATAAACGTGTCATGCAAATATTTCGATCAGGATGTTTCAAGTACACTAAATGATATTACCATTTTGTCTTAATTTTTATACCACTGCCATTTTTTTTATTGATTCTAAGTCCGTGATAATTTAATTTATTAATTTATTTTTTATCTAGTTGTTTTTCCAGAAGCTTTAAAGGGATTTAAACATTCTGAAGTAGTATAACTACGTAGAAATTGCTTGTTGCAACATATATTTTTTAAAATGACGCACCTTATTTATTTTTTTACAAATTAGCAACAAGTCATTTTGCAAAGCTAGTAGGTAATTTTACGTTCGTAATTTATTATTTAGAACATTTTGAAAATAAGATCTTCCGTAACCCTTTGAAATAAGAAAAGTTTTTTTTCACGGACTTAGGTACACTTTCTGCAAAATATTAACTCCCCGTAAATTGTCAAGGAGGTTGGCTTGTTTTTTCGTCACACACAGACGTTAGACCTTTAGTTCCAGCCAGTCATGGTTACATTGTAACATTTTTCACACCCTTTTTCCTTTGATCTATGTTAGTAGGTGAAGAATGATTTTATTTTTTTTATACATCTTCATCACACCAGATTGAAGTGTTCGGGTGGCATACGAGTGCAACAATAATTTATCGGATACGCAATCTTTGTCAGTAGCCATATCAAAATAAGCATTACACCAATCGTCAGCGTTTCGTACGCATAACAATGAAACATCGTAAAAATAATAAAATAAACCCAAACAATATAAATACAAGGTTTAAAATAAAAATACAAACAATACGTAAAAATCTAACGAATTCAACAAATATCTAACACAAATACTACGGCTAGGAAGTTGGGACGGCTTCTGTGTAATATTGACGCAAGTAAAACTCACTAACAGATAAACCGCACGTCACAATGTCCTAACAATCTACGCTTGTAAAATAAACGATCATCGCGTACGATATTCGTCTATTCTTCTGTTTTTTATTAACACAAATAAAGGGGCAAAAAACATAAAAAAATTGATGATCTAACTACTGATTATTTGTAACGTTTTCAAAAACCTGCACGAGCTTTGTGAAAACGTTTGCCGAATTTAGCGAAGAGTTTGAGCACTACAATATGTTATGAAATATAAGCCATTAATTTTAGCACAACGATAAGCTTAATTGACACTAGCTCATTGCAATTAATCTTATATACTTTTTAGCACATAACCTATAGCCGGTTCAAACTTCAAAATTACGAGCGACGGTAACTACATGTTGCTTTTAAAATACTTAACAAACTGGGAAATTTGCACGCAGTTAAGTTTAAAAAACTTAAATCTAACAGGTGTCTACGGGGAAACGACAGAGTACAACTATTTACTTCAAAAAGCATAATAATATAGTTAAACATTGACGCGAAGCACAACATTTCGCAATCACGGAAGTTGTTATCAGCGGCATAAAATATTGCTGTAATTATAGTTTGCAAGTGTGTTTGGTGTGAGTTTATGTGATGTTTATGTCATAAACTTACCTAGAGGGCGAGGTACAGCACACGCCGCGGCGGCCGCCAGCAACAGCACGTTGAGCGTGTGCATCTCGCGTCAGCGCTCGACTGATAATGCTCTCCGCTGACGGCGTGCTTTCTGTTTACCGCCAGGAGCCGTGGTCGCGCACTCACTCGGCGCCGATCGATACCCCGCCCACATCAAAACTTCTTATCACCATGAACAAAACGCCCTAACTTCACTATAGCCAACGACTACTTAATCCCTTATGGAATAACCGACTTTAAGCGTGTGCAGTCCATCTCGTGTTATCCTTTTCAATTACAATTCCTGTGCTGGTAGGAATAGAGTTGATTTCGAAAACTTTTGAGGGTCCCGCCATTCGGACGTTCGTACTTATACGTTCAAATTGAAAATCGCCCGCCGGTTTTGGATGACGGTTATCATGTCCGTGCTAACGAGTGTACTCATGCCTACTTTATCAAGATTATTATCGCGTCGTTTATCTGTTCAATTATTACCTAGTTTTTGTTTAATGTTTTCAAGTTTGTTTTGTTTACTTTATTTAAGAAATAAATAATACTTTTTTGTAAAAACATTTTTGTTAATTTTCGAACATTAATTTGAATTAACTAATTACTAACTAATAATTAACTAATTAGATTTGAATTTGAATTAACGATTCGAGACAAAAATATATTCTACTTTTTCTGTTGGATTTTACTTTTCTAAAATATAAAACAACCAGGCTTTTAAGCTGTTAATCTTTTAAAAGGGTGTTTATTTACTTTCGCGTAAATAAAACAATGTACCTGTTCTATGATGGTTCCGTCTTGAAAGTGGTTAGATTAGCCTATAGCACCGAGCTCCGATTTCCAACAGGTGGCCGCTGCGAAAACAAGTGATTCCTAGCATGTGTTAGGTATTTTACGTAGGAACGTCATTGGATTTTATTCTTATTTTAATCTTGGTAAATATTGTATTGTTCCGGCCAGTAAAATGTGGCTTATTGTATAGGTAACATAAACTGACGTTATTCTCTGACAGCCTCTTGGCTTTTAAACATACCTTAGCCATAAGCACGTTCTCCCCTTTTGTTAGAAAATCTTTTGTAAGGCATGGCCACAAAGGAAGGCGGCTCTATGAATTCTTTGTGGCCGACCGTGATAGAGAATATTAGCATCACTACTTGTAGGGATTCTAAAGGTTTGTGCAAACTTACCCTATTTCTTACGAGAAATTAAACGTTTAATTGGCTTCCCTTCTACATTTTTATAAAATAAACTTTTTTTTATTTTTTTTTGTTTGACGGCCAAAATTTTTTAAACAATACGCGGGCTATTTTAGGTACTTTGATAAAAGCAAATACAGATGAAAATTTTATGACAATCATAGATTTAACTAAAATTCGCGACGACGTCGCGGCGACGTCGCCGCGTCCGCGCACGCTGCTCATGAGGAAGAACCCCTCTGTGGTTCGAAACTAGTAGAGCTTTTCTCAACATTTACACGTGAGTAACCCGCGAATTTTAGTTAATTTAGTATGTCTCACGATAGTTATTATAAAAATCATAGATTTTGCTATCATAGTAAGAAGGCCGACTATCGTTGTTGTATAGAAAAGTAGCAGAGACATAGTAATTATGTTTTATGTTAAATGAACTTTAATTACCAAACATTAAGTAACTAACATGGAAAGAATCTTACTTCGATAATATCTATACAAGGTGTGAACGGAAAAAGGATGAAACATTAAAAAACTATTCTGTGGTTACTCTGTGCGTATTGTAATGGAGGTACCAATATTCATGTTTGTTTAATGTTCTAATATTTCAGCGCACACAGCCGAGTTGTATAACACCTGCTTCTAAATTAAATACTCGAGTCAAACAAAGTGTTATTGGTTTTTTCGGTTACCTAAATCTATCGTAGTGTTTGAATAGAGCGATTTTTGACGAAAAACTCGCTATCTTTGACTTTTACCGTCGAAAGGACAGACAGGGGACGGTAATAATATGTACTTCACGTCATTTATTTTATATTTCCGAGTTAGAAATTAGAGGCGACCCTATTGTCATCCATCAGGGATCATTTCAAACTACTTATTCCTACGACCAATTGCGAACTTCGTGAATTGAATGAAAGTGAACAAAACAGACAAAACGTTTTAACCGTAATCGTATTTTTGATTATAAGTATAATATTATACATGTACGCACATCTATCCAGTATGTGTGTAATAATACATTTATTCTCTTCTTAAATATAACCATATTTCAATAACAAAGAAGCTTTCCGAGCCAGCGTTTATTCTTCATGCCTGTGTGAATCAATTAAGAATTACTGTGTTGAAAGCTGAACAAAAGACGTGGCTAGACCACCTAGCAGCCTCCCCGGTCTATTTATAGCCTATTTAACATGTTCTCAGAAAGGAGGACTTCATACACTTATCAACCTATTTTGTTTGCGAAAAACCAGGTAGGGGTAATTCTAAAAAATATTTCAGCATATTATTAATTAATACATATTATAAAGTAAAATTTGTAAGTTTGTATGTAGGGGGTAATCTTTGGAACCTATAGGCTAAAAACATCACGCTACTATTAAATGGAGCCGAGCAGCGGGTTAAACCGCGCGAGAGTAGCTAGTTACACATAATTAAGTGATACGATTGTTATAAATTTATTTATTATTGTAAAATTTTGTTTTGATTGAAATACTTAAGCGGAAACTTGGCGTAGTTAGAGTTGAAATTAAGAATAATATACATTAGATTAGGTCCTAAAGGAGGCCCACAAAACGGTATCATTGTATCACCAGAAAACTTGTTTCTCAGAAGAGAATAAGATTATTTAACAAACATTTTAAATTATCTTACTGAAGTTATTGATCTAATGCATGCACAACTAGTTTAGTATTACGGGAAAATTACGATAATGTGTGGCTATAAGTATAGTATGCAAGAACGTGGTTGGAAACGTTAATTAAGTTAAGATTAAAAATAGCATTCGTTATAGTTATTACCAAGAATATACTTTGAAAGTTTCTTCATATTCCCTCTTGATATGAGCACAGAATAGGATAGTGGGTTGTTCTATATAAATCGCTCAATATCATTGTTTTTTTTTAATATTTATGCATCGTTTTGTTTTTTTTTCTGGAATTGAATGTTACGATGGTGAAATGGTTTGACATCGGTTCTTAATACTGCGTGATGTCAGGTATAGGTAAAAAAATATTCTTAGAAATACAAAATATGGTAATCATATAATTACTTATTAATACTTTGCTGTATCTAAAAAGTTGTTATTTAATTGGCAAGGATTTTTTACAAGAAATATGTTGTACTTGTCTAATACCATTAATTACTTGACAGAATAAATTGATGTTTCGTTTTCAAACTTAATCTTGCACCTTATTGAAGTAGAAATAAGAATTAGATTTATACCGAACTTGGTCTAATATTTTTTGTTACTGGTAAAAAATAACAGTTTTACCTTAGTTTTTACAAGTAACATTATTTAAAAATCTAACAATAAGAATAACGTATAATGTCAACGTTTCACCGTTGTGAAAAAGAGACAGCATTACTCGACATAAAGTACAAATGTTCGCATATCTGTGTAAGACTGCGACGATCCTAACCTACTTCGATGAAAGTCAAATAAAAATGCTTTCAGACCATTTTGTAAAGCAACTATCGTCAGAGACACTGAATTTGTAAAAAAGAGTCGGCTTCTCAATGCTTCCCACGCTGCTCTTGTATAAGAGTCCCGTTTGACTTTTTTTTCGTTATAGAAGAACAAACGAGGTGACGGACTACCTGATGGCAAGCAATGGGTACCGCCCGTGGACACTCGCAGAATTGGAGGAGTAACGAGTGCGTTGCCGACCTTTTGGGTATCAGAGTTTTGAAGATTTAAGGATTGAGAAGGAATTGGGGTAGAGAAAGGATTTGGATCTTTGGTAACCTCACTCATATGGCGAAAAGCAACGCTGTGGTTATTTCACGTCAGTCTTTTGTGAGATCGTGGTATTACATCAGTGGAGTCGACCTATGCCGTGTCAAAACACGGCTCTCCCACACTTATGAAACTGGTAGTACTTCAGAGTGGATTCGAGTTCACACAATTTACTTTTACTTTCGACAGTCCGCTGCTAGCATGGCCTCCTCTACATTTAAGGGGTATCTTACGATCACCATTTCTAGATAGTTATTGGTGAATGCGGCTTAAAAAGTTTCAAATTTATCAGACTGCTTAATGCCTTTAGTCAACCTGCGTGAAAGATGAAATAGTGATTTTATGATTATTTTATATTCCACCGTCACCTCATTAATATGGATTAAGTTTATCGCCATAATATAATTGATTAAAGCCGACTTCGATTTGATTTAATATTTCAGCTGCGAGGCTGGGTTTACTTAGCCGGCTGTCAGAGCCATTTCCGCTGTGATGCCGGTCGCAATCCCTAACTGTATCTTCATTGCTAAATATAAATTATGTACCGTCTGATAATACCTATTTAATATTATCTATAATATTTATATAATCAATAATACAATATTAAAGTGAGAGAGAGCCCTGTTTATGCAAGAATGGGCCGGCTCGACCGGAGTGATACCACGGCCTCACAGGAAACCGGCGTCTTAGACTCACGTTGTGTTTTGCAGTATGAGTGATGTTACACACATCCTCAATCCTTAAAACCCATATCCATAAATCTCTAATATACGAGTGTCCATGGGCTACCCTGATTGCTGACCATAAGGCAATCCGTAAGTTCGTTTGCCGACATAACACTTAAAAAAAATGCGTAGTTGTCATTAACTTTTTTGAAAATAGAAATTGTTAGTAGTGGCGCAATTTCGTCGGAGTGTTCAACGGGAATTGACATTGGATTTTTACTGGAAAAATATTCTGAACCTTTAGAATATTCTATCTACACCGGTGTAGAACTCTTTTTCACACGTCCGAAAAAACTTTCAAAGTAATTAAAATTCAAATTGTACACATGCAAAATTCAAAAACTGCACACCTGCTTCATAATAAAAATGAATTATTGACAGTTCCCAGTATTGTTAGTTAACACGTAGCCACTATTTTTGTACCCTTTAGTCAGCTAAAAGCTTTCTATAAATACATTATTTTTTTAAACTTCCATTTATGTCTTATCTCTTTTGTTTTGAAAATCTCTAATCCAATGCTCCAAAATATTTAAAAAATCGAACGTGTTTTCGTATAGTTAATTTTTCGAAACAGCATTTTTATTGTGTATATAATACAAAGCTGGTCATAATAATAAGTCAACAAGACTCTTTTCTAGTCACGATTATTGCGTTGAATGAAATACACATACGTTTGCTTTTCTCAATACTTTCACTCAAGACGGGCGCGTCTCGTAGCCGCGTAGCTCCGTAGCAGCGTAGCATCC